CAACCTGGTGTAGTGGAAGGTGTCCCTGCTCATGGCAGGGGGGTTGGAACTAGATGATCTTTAAGGTCCCTTCCAACCCAAACCATTCTATGATTCTATGAAACAACCACACACCACAACAGCATGATACAGAAACCCGTGTACAGCATTTTGGTGTAACAGGCTATTAGCCCAACCACTGGGGTGAGCATTTAACCAGGCATTCCTCTATTTGAGGCCACTGGTTGTAGGTCAGCTGTCAGAAGTGAAAATAACTTTTACACAGAAGCCACCCAACAGTGCACCGTGAGGGAGATGATTTGAAGGTTTAGGCAGGTAACATTTTTCCTTGCTTTCTACTTCATCTGCTTGCTGACATTCAGTAAAGCTAGAAAGCCAACTAAGGGAGTACTGCAACTTAAGGCAGGACAGAAGAATGTATTGCTCTTGCATTAATACTAAATGGTATTGTTTATTGCTTATTTCTCAGTTCTCAGAAGACACTGAACAGTTTGAATATCTTATTTGACTGTTCACCTCAGAATGAAGGCCCAGAGCCTTCAGATTTAAAAAAAAAAAAAAAAAACAAACATAAAAGAATGGGAATTGTTATTTGAACTGCCAGCTGTCTCATTCTGTTCCCAAGCAATGGACACACTCTACAAATTTTATTACAAATTGTGATTAAAAGAGGTATTCTCTGCCTGGACTCATTCAATGCTTAAAAAGAATTAATTGCTGAAAGAATTATAGATGTCTTAACTCAGGCCCTAGCCGGGAAAGAATATCTCACCATCTCATGTTAGTTTCATGTTAAACAGCCCCTTTACAAAAGGCAAGTATTTAAAGCTGGAAGTTACAGAATCTATCTGTAATCCTCTCTTGTTACAGTTTTGTTTATATTGAGCTTAAAACACAGTCTTCCTAACACTTCTAGACCAACCCTGATTTAACAGCTAAGCAAGCCTTCTTACACTAGAAGTCTAGGCTACAGGTAATTTGCTTTAGTGCCCACATCATTGTGCCAGGTGGAGGCATTATTCCAAGCAGCAACATGTCACTAGGTGACAAGCTTCCTCTGAACTCCATTTCTGCTTCACACTATTCTTTGAAAATAGGGGCCAGCATTGCTACACTAAATGTAGTTGCACTACAAACTCGAAGTTCCACAGGGCGTGCATTAAGAACACAAACACAACTTACCTGGACAGCCCCAAACCAAGTGAGTGTAATTTTCTTTTAGGGGTAAGATTCACAGGAATTATTGAGAAATAATTCCACGCAAGTAGCTGAGTGTTAACGTACATTAGTCACTCAAGTTTAGAAGAGGGTAAAGTTAAACAGGTTAAAACTGGTGTTTGCAGATGAGAAGTATATACTGCTTAGAGGGAGCCAGCAGCCAAAGCAGGTAGCTGGTAGTCTCATACACACAGAGCACCTACTGCAAGGGCAGGACAGGGGCTTTTTTTTGTCCATATCCCTCTTCTCAATATTAGACCATCCATCAGCTCATGTCATCATTAAAGGCAGGCAACAGCAAGCACCAAAAAAGCAGCACTAAAGCTAAGACTGAATGGAAATATGCACAGGAACTCAAAGGTAGGAAGGAAATGCTGCAGCAGTATTAAAAATATCTATATACACACACACACACACACACACACATTTTCAATGCGCATCTACTTCATTTGCATTTCAAGCTTGCTTTCTGCTGGACCCAGTCTGAAGGAGTCCCAGAACAGCAAGTTACATTTGTTTTTAAAACAACTGAAATGGAGACAGACTTGGCTACTGAAGCATTTATTACTAACATACAAAATCAGTTACAAAAAGATGGCTACAAAAAACCGCAACAACCCACATAACAGCAGGCACCTGGGTACAAACAGCATGAATCTTGTCTTTGTACTGCATATTAAAAAAAATTATTGATAACGATTTGGTCACTGGAACAGGCTCTCTAGGGAAGTGATCACAGCACCAAGCCTGTCAGAGTTCAAGGAGCATCTGCATGATACTCTTGGTTGTATGGTTTAGTTTTAGGTAGCCCTGCGAGAAGCAGGGAGTTGGACTTGATGATCCTTACAGGTCCCTTCCAATTTGAGATATTCTACGATTCCGTGGTCAGGTTACTGTGTTATACAATAGTATTTTGTATAGTGTATACAAGTTTATATAGTTAATGTTAGCACTATCACAGCATTTAAGTAACTCCAGCTGACTCATTCAGAAACCCCACTTTCAGCTTTTGTCATGCATTGTGTAGCAGTAGAATCTGAGACAGTCAGATTCAGAATAATCAAATGTACGATCTGCACCAAACATGGAATTTAAGCGCACTTAGCTAGACTGCAGGGCTTTTAAATACATTTCATAGTGTGTAAGGCTTTTATATCATTCTGGTAGAGATTAAGCAACAAATCAAATGCTTTCAGTTAGGGTAGGTTTTATTTAGACTAATGGTATTAACACCATTAATAAGCATGGTGAGGTTTCTTAACTTGACAGACAAACAAGGCATCTTGACAACTGTAAGCTGCCAATATTTAGGTATTTGAGACAACTTAAGTTTTTGGAGTGGCTTAACTACACAGGACAATACAGGCCATGTGTGAGTGTCCTTTCGCTGTATCATTCCCCCACTCCTATGTTTACAGATTTCTCTCCAAGGCTTTTTTGACAGCTACACTTGCTAAGGCCACTTGTTTCATCAGTCAGCAGAGTACATGCATGCTATGCAGTTTATTCAGGAGTGCGTTCAGGCTGTTTGTCTTTCTGGCTGGAATTTTTCTTCCCTTCACCTTTGCTCTCAGCATGCGGAATGCCAGGCAATTGTGGGTAAAAGGGACCTACCAGCCAGTTGAGCGGTGTGTTGTTAACAAGATAATCCATCACATCATCCAGAGACTCCTTTATTTTCTTCAGCTGTCCTTTGCTAGTAGTAAGAAAGCTGTCTGATAACTCTTGGAAGGAGGATACTGACCAAAAGCTCTGGTAGACATCACCTGCCATTGACCCAACACTGTAAACCTGGTCCTGCACATTCTGTGGCAGCCCCTGTAGGCTTGAGACCAGTGTGAGGCAAGTGGTCTGAAGCTGCTGAGTGAGGCCCCGTGCAATAGCTAGAGTTCTTGACTCAATGTGCTGGAAACAAAAAACATAACAGCACATTAGTATCTTTTTACAACTGTAGCAGCTTTATGTTGCTCAAGATACATAATGAAGCAGAGTAAAGGATAAGCAAGCAGAATAAAGTTATAGCAGATAATAAAACAGGTCTTAAGACTGAAGAGTCAGAGACTTGAAAGTACTTGATATTTCTTCAACGCTCAAGTACTTTGTGGAACAGAAACACTGGTAGCTTCTACCCAGCAACAGATAAGCCAGCTCTTGTTTCAACTCTGGATAAGAAGTAGTATATTCTAACCAACGAACCACTGTTTAAAGCTACATATAGGACTGAGTCTGTGCCTAAGACTACTGTGCACTGAGAAATTGTTATTTCTGGTCTGGTCATATCAGATTAAGTGAGTCCTAGCTGATCTAGATATGGATATCCCAACATAGGTTCACATGCTAACAGGATGAGCATTCTCTTGAAAGAAGAATGAACCTCAGAGCATTTACAGGAAGTAGGCTCATTTATGAGTTTGGGTGTCCTCTACTTTTCATAGTAGTCACTAGTCAGCACTCAGATTCCACATTTGTTCCTGTGCTGCTGAGATGTTGCACACTTTGGAGACTGTTAGTTTGCCATTACCTTGACAATATACAATCCATTTATATCTGGTTTACATTAAATCTATTTACCTCAGCGCTATGCGGTTCATCACCATCATTTTGGCCTGTATTTTTCTTCCATTCTACCCAGGATTGATAAAGCTTTTCCTGAGCATCAAGAAGTTTCTGATTGGCACTATTCATGTTCTTTCTGGCATACTCGATCTGAAATACAGCCAAATAAGGAAGTAAAGCAAAGAGTCCAAACAGTTCCATTAGGGCTACTCTACCTTACGTGCTTTGTAACCTCCTTGTTAAATACTTTAAAAGTTCAGTATAAAAGACTTTGGGGAATATAAGAGTGTTCCTTTTCTTCAAAAGGAGAGAAAACTGGAAGCAGTTTTGAGACGTTACATAGTGTATCCCTCTGCCTCAACTATTTTTCCCCTCCCTCACTAGCATCCTACATAAGGATTTGAAAGTGTATAGAAGGCCATGACTTTATGCACAGCTAGTCCTGTACATAAAGGTACACTGTTAGGATAAGACTATGGAAGTGCCCAGGAATGCTCAGAGACACCCACAGCAAGAAGAGCAAGCCCATAAAGAATCCAACTATTTTATTAACAAAAAGGACTTAAAGGACTGAAGTGTTTCTAAATTGCAAGACACTTGCTTCACTGAATCAAGTCTGTGTCAAACTCGGCACTCTAAACAGGAATATCATTTTTAAACACATCATGTCTATTTCTGCAGTGCTTAAAACTACAAGCAATTGTTGGTTATTTTACAGCTCAGCCAGATTTAGGACCTCTCCTGAATGGTGGTGAAAAGCTCTGAATGGGAAATGCTTTCATTTAGAAAATGCATTTAGTCTCAAGAGCAATTCCAGTTTTCCTGTGCCACTTTTGTCTGTTCTCTGCACTCTAAAATTGTGACAACATTTGCTTTTTATACCTCAAGAGAAAGCTTAAACTTACCAGACTAACTGTGTGGTGGAGCTGAGAGATTGTCTCCTGGCTTTTCTGTTTAGCATCTTTAACTTTGTTTAAGGCTTGTTGGTAGGCACGTGTGCGGACCTTTGAAGACAGGGATCCTAGTCTAATGTAGTAGCTTGGCTTTTGAACTCCAACTTCAAAACCTTCAACTTTTGCAGCTTCTTTCTCTAGATATGTAGAAAGGAAGAAAATTGACCACTGGTTAAGAGGTCTGAGGCAATTTTAGTTGCTTAGTAACAGCTGAATGCTGGACTTTTTTCATAGTCCTTTAGCACCAGAGTAGGTTGACAGACCACTACCCATGGAAGTCCTTACTTTCACTCTGCTTCTTCACATCTGTGAAGATGCTGTTACAACCAGCAAAGCAAAAGACAGTTTGGGAAGCACATGCCCCTTCCCCAGTATGAGTAAGTAATAAATACATGATTGCTTGCTTCTCTCCAACACAAGCATTCCAACAAAATCAAACCTTTAGCAGGTCTTACCTAGTTCTGCTTCTGTAAGTGGGAGATACTGGTCTACAAGGGTCTCCGATTTAGTTAGAGCACTGTCCACACCACTGCTCACCATTTGCACCACACGACTTCCAAGGACAGTGTTAATGCTGCCACTGACAACTGACTTGGTCATTTCTACACTGTCTTGCATTGCTTCTTTAGTCTTGCCCACAACTCCAGTGATTGTGTGAGCAACAGTTTCCTTGGCACCAGTCACGGTAGTTGTTACAGCTTCTTTGGCTCCAACAACTACATACTTGGCATTGGCGACAACCTGCCACAGGAAACAGGTAGATTCATTAGAAATATTTTCTAATGAGAGATATATGATCCAATAAACATAAATTTATGCCAAAGCTTGTACATGTATTGGTTATCTAGGAGAAATTCTGCCCTGAAAACATGTCCAAGACAAAGCAAAATATGACTGCCATGCAGCCTTCAGCTCAAAACACTTCAGTGAATATAATTCAGACATTATTTGTTTCACACTGAACAGGAAAGAGACAGGAACTCAAATTTTAAGAGATGCTCATCAGTGAGCAGCAGCTATAGATAGATGTGTCAAATGGTGGGCAAATTAAAAAAAAACAAAAAAGGCTTAATGGCCTCCCAAAGCCAACAAACAATTCTACAGAAACACCTTTTACTTCTTCATTGCTTCTAAGATATGTTTCAGGCATGGCTTATTGAAATACGTCTCCTTGTATTTTTAGTGATAACAGAAAAGAGGAAGGGTACATAGTTCTTTAGCTTAACATATGTACATGGAAAGAACTTACCTTGTCAGTGGGCTGATTCAGTATAGGTAGTCTCTCTTCAATTTTGTTTAGACCTATACATGCATAGTTGTTGGCAGCTACAACTATAAAAGAAATTACAACAGTTTGTTTTATTTTCCTTAGTAAAAATAACTCCAGTTGAGAATTCTTGTTGAAACAACTCATGCAACAATGCTCTTAGTTTTCTCCCCTCTTCAGTGAGATGAGGCAGCAAAGCCCAAGAACAAAGCAGGTTTACTGTACCAAAAAAAAGCTCACTTTCAGGCAAAGAAAATCCATTTGATACTCTACAAGCAACAAGCTGAAGCACCTGACCTTTGGCCACTTCCTGAAACCAGGCTCCTGGTTACCACAGCGTTGTGACACAGTTGCCAAATTTAACCACAATGTTCTCCGTGAGAGAAAGTACAAAGTAGCATTTGAAACCAGGTGAAAGGTGAGGAAGGTGTTGAGCAAGAGACTATGTCACCATCTCACATATCAAGAGGAGTGAGTCAGTTTAGTATTACAAGAACTGGAATCTGCGTTGGCTCTATTTGGGGGGGGCTGGTTTTTTTGTGTGTGTTAAATCATACGCATCTATAATCAGTTACTCAACAAGCCAGGCAACAGGTCCGGTCAGCCACCTGAAACAGCACTTCAAACCAGCATGATCATATTAAACTGTATGTGCATCTCTATATATAAAGCAATTAGTTGAATTAAAGTTATCAACAGATCCATCTTTGCCTTACTTTGTGGCTCCAGTTTCTGGATGATAGGCATAGCACTTGTCACAGCTACTGAAGTAATTGTTTTCACTCCTTTCTCTGCTATCTCACATACTGACTTCAGATAAGGATGGTTATCCTTTGTGGTGATGTAAGCTGTGGACACCATGTCATAGGTGGAGCTCACCAAGGGAAGGCTGACAACCCTCGATACAATGTTCTGTTTAAAAGAGAAAGAGGTTACTTGACTCCTATTTTTCTGAACCAAACTAGGAAAAAATTACGGGGCTAACTCATACATACCTGCTGTGGATCAATTGCTGCCAGTGCCATTTTTTCAGGTCTTGAATATTACAAAGCCTGTGAAAGAAGCATATCTGAGTTATGGCATCCTCATATCCACTTCATTTAATCACCAGACTTTGAAACCAACAACCCTTTTGCAATCCATTCTGTTGATCAAGGGATTAGATGTTCACATTCCTGCATACAGGAATTAGATTTTATTTTAACAATTTAGAAATCCAAAACTTTGTTTCCTCATTACTTTGTTTGGCTTAAGCAACACAAGTAGGGCACATGCAAGAGACAGGCTTTGAGGTACAGCCATTCAGCGCAGAATTACCAAAGAGCTACCGACTGGTGGATTAATTTATTTTTCTAGAACAAACAGACACACTTGAGCTTATCTGCTGACCCAGGACAAAGAAAAGCCAGCCAACAAGTCACTAAAACTCTAGTTTAGGATGTCTAAGTCAGATGAAGCATACACCACCAATATATTTAATTGGATTAGATCTTCTGTTAGCATAAGGGAGTCAAGTTTGACATCTGAGCTACCATTACTGTTCAAATCTTGGAAACGCATTGAAGACTGAAGTGAAGTACTCATTGCAGTAACCTCAGCTCAGTTCTCAAGCTCATTATCTCTACTGCCATGCCCGATGCCCACACAGGGCTGCCCCCTGCTCAGCTAGCATTCCTGTAACATGCAGAGCACAGGACTTCCCACTGCAGAAAATAACCCTCCTTTACGCCCATTTAGAGGTAATTATTACCCATCCCACACTGAAACAGGCTGTAGACACCAGTGATTCAGCAAGCCTGTGCTGCTCAGTTTTTTTCCAACATGGGTTCCTATGGAGAAAACGCTAACAGCTCTCCCCATAAGAGCCTTATAAAAGGAGAGGGGCATTGCAGTACCACATAAAGTGAACATACAGATGTGCACTGTCATCCCATGCATGTATGCAGGCTGAACAAAATCTGCAAGAAGCACTTTTTACATTGATTTAATATGGCATGTAAGTTCCAGGAGAATCTTCATACATGAAGACAACAGAAAGGCAAGCTAAAAGTCATTCCTCAAAAGGACCATGGTTTTAAAGGCTTCCTTCTACTTCTGTCACAGAGCCAACAGCAGTTTTCTTTCTTGTACATGTGGCAATATCAAAAGAAGCATGTTAACATTCTGCCTGTGGTCAAGTAAAACTTTTCCTCATTACATAATGGGGAAAAAGGACAAAGGCATGCTGTTAACATTTCACAGACATATTTGCACACATTAACACACACGTACCATAAGGTAATGCCTGTAATGAGATTAACCACTGTACACAGAACATACAAGCACGTAACTGATAAAGACTACAGTAGCAACAGAGAAGTTCTCCTTCCATCTATCAAGTATTGACATACCCCCAGAAACATGCTTTGTTCCTCACACAGCATTACAAACCAGATTCCTTAGACTACAATCAAAGCTCACTTTGAGCTGCAAAGCATGCTGTAGAACAGCAGAGGCTATCGGTGTGGAATGTGACCTCTGAAGAAAGAGGGGCCCTTGCTGTAAGGACTGTTCATTATTCCTAATGTTTCGCAGAAGATCCACCCACACATGGCATAGATTTGAATTTTAGTCACTGAAATAGGAGAGTTAATCTGTAAAGGTATTCCTGCTCTTAAAGACAGGGAAGATGGCTAGAAACCTGCACAGTTTCAGAGATCCCTTGACTAGTTTTAGCTCTAGCAAAAGTCAGACCCACTTCAGTGGAGCAGGTGAGCGAGTGCCTGAACCAAAGGCCACGGCACAGCAGCCTATTTCAGAGGCAGCAGAGGACCCTGGACAGGGAATTTAACACAGTCCGTCACAAGTTTAATTTAATTTCTACTTTCCGCCCTCGCGATGGAAAGCCAGAGAGCGGGCAGCCGCGCAGAGGAGCCCGGGAGCGCGCCCCGGCTCAGCGCGGGGCCCGGGTCTGCGGGGCCTCCCTCCAG